GCTTATATATTCAATATGGTTGAAGATAATTATACATTTCCATCTGAGTTTATTCTCCTGGGCTTCTCAAACCGAGAAGACCTGCAGGTGACATGCTTTGTCTTATTCCTTGCCATCTATGTGATCACTCTAATAGGAAATCTGGGAGTAATTATATTAATCAGAATCGATTCGTGCCTACGCACCCCCATGTACTTCTTCCTAAGCCACTTGTCTCTCCTGGACGTCTGCTACTCCTCCACCATCATCCCTCAAACCTTGCTGAATTTTTTAGTGGAGAAGAAGGTTATTTCCTTCGTTAGGTGTGCCACTCAGCTCTTCTCCTTTGCGACTTGTGCCACCACCGAGTGCTACATGCTGGCTGCCATGGCTTATGATCGCTACATGGCCATTTGTAACCCCCTGCTCTACTCCGTGGTCATGTCCCAGAGGTTTTGCGTTGGGATGTTGGCTGGTGCCTACTTAGCTGGTGTGATCAGCTCCATCATACACACAGTCTCCATATTTCATTTCCCGTTCTGCCGGTCCAAGAGGATCAATCATTTCTTCTGTGATGGACTACCGCTGCTAGCCCTCTCCTGCTCTGACACCCATGTCAACGAGGCGATCGTTTCTGCCGTGGTGGGGTTCAACATGCTAAGCACCATGGTCCTCATTCTAGTCTCCTACTCGTCCATCCTCTCCACTGTCTTGCGGATGCGCTCCACGGCCGGTTGTCACAAAGCCTTCTCCACTTGCGCCCCTCACTTGGTCTCCATCGCTTTGTACTACGGCAGCTCCCTCTTCATGTACCTGCGCCCCGGCTCCAGACACTCCTTGGAGCGTGACAAGGTGGTCTCCGTGCTGTACTCCATCGCGCTCCCCATGCTGAACCCGCTCATCTACAGCCTAAGAAACACGGACATGAAGAACGCCATGAGAAAAGCGAAAGGTAGAGTCCTCTCCTCCTTGTCCATCCACGGTTCCGGGCCAGGTGAAAGGAGAGGGCTACCCTTGCATGGTAAGGAGGGGTAGATACGGCACCTTCAGGAAGGCGGGTTAGATATTGCACCTTCAAGAAGCAGGGACTAAATGCACCTGGAAGCAGGACACCTGCAAAACACGTTTCTCCTCGAACCAAGGCGACACGCTGCGCTAGGAGGGACGGGACTGTCCCCGGCTGTAGCCTGAGACCTGACAGTGACCATATACTGGGCAGAAAGTTATTATCCAAAGTAAATGTTATTTAAACATGACTTAAAATAAATATCATTTAAATATTACAAAAAAAGTAATAATCAACTTCATTTCAGGCTTCAGAGAGCTGAAGGGAGAATGCAGGTGGTGGCTTTGCCCTGCCAACGTCAATCCAGCCAGTGGCTGATCTCTCATGTTTTATATTAACGAATGTCCTCCGGTGATGTTCCTGGTTTTAGGACAAAGTTAATTGAATTTTCCAGGAGTTTTTGGTCTAGACCACGACATGAGGCCACGCGAAATAACGCTGTGATGGTGTGCTGGTCATCAAAGCACTCATGGTAAATGGAGACAAGTCATAGTTGAGCCTCTGCTCTGCCTAGGCGTGTAAAGGGCCAGGGAGGGAGGATTTTAGGTCTTCCTTTGCCCCGAACAGCCAAGGTGCTCGTGGTCTGGGGTCACCTTATGGTGGAGATGGAGCAAGTGCAGTACTGAGCTGTTTGGGTCCAGGATTTCAAGCTCCGTTATTCACCCTGCAGACGCACACCCTACCCACGCAGGTATCCTTCGTGGATTATTTTGCCTTCCATGTATTTTTTAAAAAATAATCTATCTTTGAAATCTCTTTTTTTTTTGTCCTGAAGTTGAGTGAGGGTTATTTTTTCCCCTCTGTTATGTTGCTTTTCCCACTTCACAGGCCTTGGTTTTAGCCCAGCACCGAACGGGGAAGAAAGAAATTAAAAAACACAGGGAAACCCTTTTCTACCCACCCCCAGTGCGTCTCCAGGACTAAGAGTCTGGTGCCTTCCAGCAGAAAAACAAATTTACATTAAAAACATCTAAAGCCATCTATATACTTCTCCATCTTGCTTCCCCACACTTTCACGGCTCGGTATTCTCTTCCATCTGCCCCATCCTTTGTGTTTTCTAAATGTCTGGGACAAAGTTATGATTTAATATTTGTCCTAAGGGTTTTATAACGTCTCTTCGTCTAGCAGAAGCTTTCAGGAAACATTGGCCCTCAGGATTCATCAGGATAAAACGGGTGAACCCAAGTTAATTCCGTTATATCCTCAAAGCAGCTGTGTAAAATGATGCTTTTGAGCAAACGCCGGGTGTGTTGTGCAGACAGCAGGGAAGTGTATGGAAATAAATATATCTGCCGGAGGGGACTCCCTATGGCCGTGCTCAAACCTTTCGTACAGCAGATGCTCCGTTAGGTTTGTTTTCGGCATCCTTCGATGCAACATTAGACTATCAATCAGATCTCCTTGGTGCTAGTAAAGGGCTTTTTTTCTTTTTTAATACAGAAGTTTGCGATAGTTGGATAAATAAAAAGCAAACTGCCCTGGACTTGTCTTTCTGCCAGAGCAGGCGGTGGCACGGGCAGCCTGGGCAGGTCTCTAACGGGAGAGCTGGTCTTGGAGGCGTTGGTGCAGCCAGAAAGGTTTGGGGGGGTGTGTGTGTGCGCGAAATCGAAAGGGGCTTTTGCTGAGCAGGTCAAAAGAATGATCAGCGGGAGGAGGGTCCTGAGGGAGAGCGGCGAAGCTGGTTTCAGTGTGTTACACCGTCCTGACCCCCGCCCTCAACCCCCTCATCTACAGCCTGAGGAACAAGGAGGTGAAGGGGGCCCTGAGGAGGCTGCGGGTGCGAAAGCTGGTGCCGCATCTGTGCAGGCTTTGAAAAGGCATTTGCAGCTCTTCGGTACTTTGGAGGTAACGAAGGAATGTGCGTTACCGGTCATTCTTGGTCTGCTTACAGACAAGGACACCACACAGCAAGTACAGGGTACGGAGAACGAGCATAACGAATTGTTCTCCTCAGACAACTTCAGTTTATTTTAATCGTGGCGTGAGCCTTCAATAATTAATCAAAGTAATTGTCAGCGCTTTCCTAGCAAAACTGAAATAGTAACACGGTGTTTTGTGTCTAAATCGTCTTAAAGGACAATATTGCCCACAAAAAGGACGCTCAAATTGGAGTTAAACAGTTACTAATATTTCCCGTGCCTGCTTGATAATCATTTTTCCCAAATGAGCTTGAAGAACTGAGGATCTGTTTAAGTCAGTGATATATGGAGAGCTTCAACGTGGCCCAGACTCTCTGAATTTTTCCAGGAGCACTATCAGAGCTGCTCTTACGAAGGCTTTGCTCAGACCGGCATCAGTGAGGTCCCCTTCGTAACGGCTGCAGGTGGGAAACAGCAGTTGTCCGTACCAGAAGGGGGCTGAGGAGGTTTGCAGGGTGCTGCCAGAGGCCACCCTGACAAGAGGGGTACGTTTATCCGATGTAGGCGGCCTGGCGATGGCAGGGTGGGATGTGACCATCCAGGTCAAGGTCCGGCTGTGACCTCAGGTGCAACTTCCAACGTATGGAAGAACCATCAGAAAGCACAGAGCCGCGGTGTCGGCTCCGGGGACCTGGAGCCGTGCTAACGGCTTGCTGCGGGCACGCATACGTTAGCACGTCCCAACCCAAATCTTCTTGGGACGTGTTTTCTTTAGGTCTGTTACTGTTTTCCTTGTTGGATGATCGGTAAGAGGTCCACGCTT